GAGGGGAAGGAGGGGATCTTTCTCAGCCCTGGGCCCTGGAACCAAACCCATGAAAATGTGGGCCCCCTAAGACTGCAGCCCCCAGGACTGCCTCTCTCTGACCCTCACCTACATGCGGTCTTCGGTAACTCCTCAGAATGACCCCTGAACTGCTCCCGCCGCTTTGTGGCTGCGGCAGCTTCTGCTTGAGGTCAGTTGATCTCAGAGGTGTTGCTGGATTCACCTGTCTGTCCAGATTTTGGGGCAGTGGTTTGCCCTGCAACCTCAATTCCCTGAGAGGTCCAAGAAAAGTCATTGATTTTCAGTATGCTCAGCTTTTTCATGTTGTACAGGAGGGAGCTATGTCTTCCAAGTTCTTTATGTGTTGGAGTAGACACTGAAGGTTCTTTAAATATAATTTTCAGCATAAAAAGGAAAAAAATTGCAGAAAATTATGTGGCATCACCTCATTCTTGCAAAAAAAATATATAGAACATACATATTTATACGTTTGTATATTTGTAGATAAAGGTTACAAAAAGTGCACCTCAATCAATTAGCAGCAGCACCTCTCAGGTCTGTGATCGAGGTGGGATGGGTGGAATTCTGTTTTCTATACCTCACAATGTATGACTTAAAAACAATAAACAGGGATTATCTCAGTAAAACCATTAAAAATAAAAGCACTTTGAATCACAGAAGACACAAAGACACATAGTTCAAGGGAAAACAAACAGGATGGTTTGAGTTGCAGGTGAGACGAGGCAGTGGCCTTTACTGCTGTACATTATGAGCCAGGCCCTCTACAAGGGGTTTTGTGTTCAGTTTTACAATGTTATCGTTGCACCCGTGTTCCCATGCCCATCTGCTGATGAAGATCCTGCAGATGTCCCGGTTTTACAGCTGGAGGTGGCTGAGCCAGGATGTGGACACAGTTCAGAGTCCTCCACACCCTCTCTGAGGACAGTGGCCAAGCTGTGAGATGGGGAGAGGGAAGAAAACTAAAGGGAATGATGGCAAACCGAGGCATCCAGTTCACTAGGGCGACTGGTTCCTTCACCACAGGGCTGAGAATTTGTGCACTTAAAGCAAAGGCACATGTGCCAACAGGATGCCAGGCAGCTTCCATCCGAGCCCTCCATCCTGGGTCTGGTTGTGATGTGGAACTTGCCTGTGTGTCCCACTGACATGCTGTGACTAATCTATAAATTTAGAGTTGAGCAACAATTCTCTGCCAACTGGGGAGGAATGAAGAGGGTGCTCAGGTGGGGCACTAGGATAGGTACCTGCGGTGCAAGCCAGTGCTACTCCAGGTATGGCTCAGGGACCAGCAGCATGCCTGGGAACTTTTGAGAAATGCAAATTCTAGGACCCCACCTGTCAAAGCACCTGTCAAAGCAGGACCTCTGGGGATGGGGCTTAGAGATTTGTGTGTTGACAAGCCCTCCTGGGGACTGTGGTGCAGGTTCACATTTGAGAACTACTGGTGAAGGTGGTGGCCATGGGAAAGAACTGCCCTGATGTCACCTTCAGACTCAGCAAGAGACTCAGACGGGGGAAAGTCCAGAGGCTGCTCTTGGTAGAAGAGATGAATGTCGATTTATTGGGTGTCAAGGAGAGAAGCCTTTTGTCTTTAGCCTTTTCTCCATTTTAACTTCTTTCTTTAGCTTTGGAAGGATGTGAATCTTTATGATACATTATATATATGTATATATACATATATATATATAGCAAAGTACATTTTATGTAAAATATAATACGTTATATAATATATAAATGTATATTTGCACATTATAGATATATACACAGTCATATATATACATATACACACATGCATATATGTGTGTGCTTGTTTGTGTATATGTATAGACAAAGATTCTGTCCTTGGCCAAACTTGAGTCAGGTTCCTCTGGGCTCACTTCTCGATGAGGCCCTGACCTTGGGTTCCATCCTTGGCCTGCTGAGTCCAGTGCAGTAAGAGCCCTGCCATGTCAGCGAGAATTCCCTTCCCTGGATATCTGACCAAATTTGTCATCACCCACACTCAACATCTGATCAGCCTTGCCTGCCTTCAGCAAGAATTCTTTTAAGCCAGTTTAGCTAGAGTCCTTGTTATCCCTGAAGTTTCCCTGAGTAGTTTTCCATCCACTGATGGCCACTTCTGCTCCTGGGCTATAGACCCCCACTTGTCCTGTTGCACTTGAAGCTGAGCCCAGTCTCTCTCCCCTGCTGCAAAATCCAATTGCAATAGTCCTTTTGTGAATAAAGTCTTCCTTACTGTCTTTAAAAATTGCCATGAATAATTTTTCTTTGACGATATATAATCATAAAAGATTCAAACCCTTCCAAAGCTAAAGCTAAATATGTATATGTGTGTGTGTGTGTGTGTGTGTGTGTATAAAACTCCAATTGCTTTCTGAGGCAGTCAGATCTATTTATTCTTCTGCCAAGAATGTATCATACTCCCCATCTTATCATCTCTGCATTGACAATGAGCATTTTACTCTAAATTTTTATTCTAAAAGGTTTTCTTCTATTGTTTTAGTTCATATTTGATTCCCAATGGAGTTAAATATTTTCCCATATGTTTGTTTATTAATGACAGTTCCTCTTTGTAAACTATTCACATTTTTGTGTTTTTTTTTTTTTTAATCAATTTGTGTTAGTTTTAAGTTTCTGGTCACTGCAACTATATCAGCACTGGGGGTGTGCCAAGCTCAGTAATGCTGTGACTCTTGAAGACTCCTGGTGGTACTGCCTTGGTGAGCTTGGGTAAGACACAAGAGAATTTCCTGATTACCAGGCAAAGTTTCTCACTCTCTTTCCCCACTCTCTGAGCTGGGCTGCTGGAGTTGGGGGAGGAGTGGTGCGGGTACTCCCTTGTGGCCACCAGGCCACACCTGAAGCCAGTGCAGTCTCACCCAAAGCCAGTGGTGATTGTTGCCTGGCTGTCTCTGATGTTTATTCAAAGCCTGAGGGCTCTTTAGTTAGCAGGTGGTAAGTCCTGCCAGGACTGGGGCCTTCCATCTAGGGCAGCGTGTTTCCTTCCTGCCCAAAGTGGGTCCAGGAATGCTGTCTAGGAACTACGGCCTACACTTGGGCCTCAGGAGTCAGCTTGATACTTTATTTTACTGTGGCTGAGCTGGTAACCCACGCTGCAAAATGAAGTCCTCTGAGCTCTTCCCTTTCCTTTCCTCAAGTGGAAGAAGATGCCCTTAGCCACTGTGTGTAGTTGGGGGAGGGGTGACACAGGCACTGGCTTGGCCACAGCTGCTGGTGTGTCCTTGGGTCATGTTCACTCCATGTCCACTGCTCCTAGCCAGCACAGTCACAGGAACTGCCCAAGGACTGTCGTGCTTGTGGCCTGACTGCCTTCCAAATTTAGTCCAGGCCCCGGGCCGCTCTTTGCATAATGGTGGGGGTAGAAGGAACTCAGGTTTCCTGGAGGAGGATTTCCCTCTGGCTGGGCTGGTCAAAATGCTCCCTTCGTGGGCACTGGCAGGATTCTGCATTGTGCTGTCTCCCCTTGCACGAGGGTGGCCCTGAGTTTCAGTGCTACACCCTGCAATCACTTCTGTCTCCCTCCCCCGGCACACAGATTTTCTGTTCAGCATGCTAATTTGTGTCAGTTTTAGATTTTATAGATTAACCATATGTATTTTATTTTCACTGCACATATTTTCAGTAGGATATGCTCATTTTTTCTTTCTGAATTCTACTGTTTTTCAGAGACAAGGTCTCACTCTGTTGCCTGGGCTGGAGTGTAGTGGTGCGATCATAGTTCTCTGTAGCCTGAGTTCTGTTTTCCTAAGCATAGAAATTCCTTACTTTATATATATATATAAACATGTGTTTAACACATGTTTAGTTCTGTTTTTTAAATTTATTTCTGTTTTGCTTTTTAAATGTTTACTGTTTTAATCTATTAATTTAGTTTTCAGTTTCTCTACCTTTCTTGCTTTTATTTTGACAAGTAAGTAATATTTGGGAAACACACAACTAAAAAGTGAAAGAAGTGTTTTTATTTAGGCAAATCATTCAAAAATAAATATTTTGTAATGCAAACAATCTCTTTTAATCTGTCATTTCCATGTTTGGATATTTCTTATTTTATTTATTTTATTTTATTTTATTCATTTTATTGAGACAGTCTTGCTCTGTCGCCTGGGCTAGAGTGTAGTGGTATCATCGTAGCTCACTGCAACTTCAAACTCCTGGGCTTGAGCCATCCTCCTGTCTCAGCCTCCTGAGTAGCTGAGACTACAGGCATGTGCCACCATGCCTGGCTAATTTTTTCTATTTTTAGTAGAGGATGAGGTCTCGCTCTTGCTCAGGCTGGTCTCAAACTCCTGAGCTCAAGCGATTTTCCCATCTCAGCCTCCCAGAGTGCTAGGATTACAGGTGTGAGCCACCACGTCCTGCCTTCTATTGCATTTGTACCCTTAGAAGAGGCACGGATAAAGAGAAACACCTGGATATGAGGACTGGTTCTGCTGCAGCCTCCTGATTCAAACAGGCATCTTGGCACCTTTCCCTTTGGCATAGGGTGGGGGACAGTGGTGATGACAGCACCTTGGCAGTGATACTGCTAGGTGTTGTGTTTGCCTGCCCAGCCAGGTACTGGCTACTGCAGGGATGGACAAAGCAACCCCAATACAGGCGGCCTCATGCTAGGGATATTATAGTCATTCTCTTTCTCGTTTCCATCCCTCACCACACACCAGTAAGAGACAGTAAACATTCGGGGAGAATTTGGTTAATGACATGGAACATAACAGAGGGTGCAGAGAGCAAATGCTCTGGGGATGGGGGAGATATCGGCAGCTGAAGTTTCCACCCACATAGCGGGGAAAATCTTCCAAAAAGTTCCCCTTTCCCAGCCCCCTCTCCCCTGCTATGTACCCACAAAGCCAGCTTGCATCTGCAGGCAGCGGTCATGGCTTTTCCTGTTTGAATCAGCTATTCCACATGGAGCACATGAAAGAGAATTTTATTCCTCAGGTGCTCAGAGACAACAAAGCACCTTTAAACCACTGGTAGAGACAGGAACCTCAGCTGACATTTCCTGTTCTGAGGAGGCCAAGCCCTTGGGTCCCTCTGTGGGAGGCAGAAGAAACCTCTGCACATCAAATGGTGGCTGTCTCTCCCAGCTACAGATTACTGGGAGAGGCTTGGAGGTTTAAATTCCTTTTGGACCTATCAGTGAGAAGTTCAGTGGAGACAGTGAGCCTTAAGATGGATGTGGCCAGGACTGGGTCATGTCAGACTGAAGCAGTGCCTCACACGTGGCCCCCTGTGATCCCATACTACCTTAGTTGTAAGTCTGCATCTGAATCGCATGCAGGGAGGCAGCAGCCCGGGAGTCTCTGGGAGAAACTCTGCAGATGCCGTATTTGTCATCCTTGCTCCCCCAAGACACCTGGCCCTGTTCTGCTCAGGCTCCTGGGCTCACGTCCTTCCAGGTGGACATCCCGGCTGGTGGAAGGGTGGTGGCCAGAAGCAGGCAGTCAGGGAGCAACAGAAACACAGCTGCCAGCAGGACCCTGCGGGGTGGTGCTGGTGACGTGGAAAAGGAGCTGGAGATTGTCTCCGTCCCGACCTTGAAGTTTAGTCTTTTCCCACTCTCCCAGTTCTCAGCATCCTTCTGTCCCTGCTTCTGTCCTCCCTGGGTTTTAGTGAGTACCAGCCAAGGCAAGGCTGGGCTCTGGGGAAGGAGCACACACTTCCTTGTTCCTCTCTCAGCCCCTTTCTGGACATCACAGTAAACCAAGTGGTGGGCTTTATTAACACACAGGCTTCCTACTAACTCTCAAGCCCTCATTCACACCTAGAAATAAATAACTGCTTAAGTGTGAACTTGTTTATTGGAAGGGGACTGCTACCAAAATGTCATGCTAAGTAGGTAAAACTTGCTGGGCTGGACTTCCAACCTGCAGGATGTCTGGGTGTCAGAGGGATGCTAATTGTCAGACCACACTTGAGCTAGAGTTGGAAGGAGCTCCCTAGAAACCATGAAGTGCTGGGACTGTTGCAGGCAGGGGAAGTCTCAAAGGTGAAGAAGATAGTCTCTGTCCTTCAAGGCTGGCCTCTGGAGGCCTGGGCGGAGCCTTAGCATGACTCAGTGGGCCTGAACGACAGGGACATGGTGGAAGGGATCAGCCGGGGTTTGGTGCCGACAAAACAAAACTGCTGTAAGCCTGAGCTGGACCCAAGGTGACTGAGCCACCCGGGAGTGGGGCATGGGGGTGGGAGGAGTAGAAACAAGCACAGCCTGAGGCCCGACAGCCTCCAAGTGAGGCCCACCTTGGCCTCTTCCAGTCACCGACTTCAGGCAAGTCCAATTCTGGAGCTCCAACTTCCTTTGATGTGAAGTGGGCATGAGTAGTTTGTTCACCAGGTCGGTTTGAGGGTTTGCTGGAGTAATGAAAGTGATAGCATCTGGTGAACCAGCAGTTCCCAAACTTTACTGTGCATCGGAGTCACCAGGAGGGCTGTTGGAACACACCTGGCTGGGCCCTACCCGCCCCACCCCCCACCATTTTGAGTCTGTAGGTCTAGGGTGGAATTTGCCTCTGTAACAAGTTCTCGGGTGATGCTGACACTGCTGCCCAAGGACCGTACTTTGAGAAGTACAGCTGTGAGCCTTGGTGGCTGGAGGAAGGGAAATCAGTATAGTCGCCTTCTGCACCTGTGGGCTTCACACCCGTGAATTTGACCAACCGCAGATTGAAAACATTTGGGAAAACAATAAAAAATAACAATACAACAATAAAAAGTAATACAAATAAAAAACAGTGCAATGCAACCACTTACATATCATTTACATCATATTTGGTATTTTAAGTAATCTGGAGATGATTAAACCTATATATGGGAGGATGTGTGGGCTATATGCAGATATTATGCCATTTTATATCAGAGACCTGAGCGTCTGTGGATTTTGGTATCTGAGGAGAAGGGGGTGTCCTGGAACTAATCCCTCATGGATACTGAGGGATGACTCTATTTAATGTTTTTTTCTGCCATTAACCAAATTCAGTTTAAATGCATGAAAAGGAGAAAAGGGTAGCATCACACAATCCCCTTTCCTCTGTCTGGTTATTGTACCTGATAATTATACCCTTAGGAATAAATGGATATGGCGTTCTCTGATTAATTTATCTTAAACTTTTTGCACCATCAAGTAGAGAACAAGCTCTAGTTTGGTAGGTGGTAACTGAAAGCCATGTGTGCTGGCCTAAGCGCCAAAGGAAGATTTATTCTTGGACAAGGGGGAGGCTTTGGAAACCGGTGGGAGTACAGCTGGGTCCAGCCTGGCCTCAAGAATCTGGAACTCCAACACCGGGAAGACCGTCTACCTCTCCTCTCTCTGCTCTGTAGATCCACTTTCCCTGCGTCCCAGGCCACACTGGCTGGGAGAAGGGTTGTCATTGGCTTAGCTTGGGTCAGTTGTTCACCTAAAGTCCAATCACCTGTGACCAGTTAGGACAGGGTCACATAGGATCAACAGATCAGTTCTCACAGTGACCAGGGCCTGGAAGGTCGGGGCAGGGGCAGATGGAGCCAGAGGAAGACTACAGATGCAAGTGAAGCGGCTGCTCAGGCTGCAGGAGGTGGCTTCCTGGGGGGCCCAGTACTGGGGACTTGGGCGTTGCTAAATGTTAAATAAATGGAATGGAGTTATTTTTAGAAAACTCCTGGGACTATGTGTTAGGCATGTTTTTGTGCAAAGAACAGTGATTTAACAACTGTACTGAACAAATACATAGATAGAAAACTCAGAGAGGCAGGCTGTTGACTCCTCACCCTATACTATGAGTCCCTGAAGTGAACAGAAAGTCCTTTCTTTAAAAAGCATTTTATTTTGGTCCTCATAGCTGTTTGCTTGAACAGTCAGTTCAGCTAAACACAGTTAGTACCTGGTAAATCCAGTCAAACTCTGGACCCCTGGGGTGCATTTACAAAGGGACCAAAACAGCCACATTCCTCCTTAAGCTTCCTTTGCCATGATCTCTATAGCAGGATGGGTGTGTTTGTAGCTGTGATGTAGACAACTTACAATTCCCAAAAGATGCTTTCAGGGCTGATACAAATTGTGATTTAAAAGTGAATCTCTGCAGGAGACACTCACTTGCTCAACGTGATCTGAGGGCCCTGTATAAATGTTGACATCTGGACATATTTTCCTGTGTTGTAAAACTACTATACGTGTTGGGGGCAAATGCAACAGGAACTATAATCTCCACTCCCTATTCAAAGTATTTTCTAGCTATTTAACAATTTTGGCATTTTAATAATAATTAAATGGGCTGTGTGGATTGCTCATATGTTTCTCCCAGGGGTTCCTTCTTTTCAAAGGTGTCTGGCAGATTTAGGTCATACGTTTTCTTCCTTTTGCGCTGAAAATAAGGAAAAGAATTACAGAATTTCCAGTAAGAATCTTTTCGAATACTTCTACATTAGTTCAAAGCAGCAGAGATTCTCTCTGCCGGCAGCCGTAGGATACCTATTAGAGTCTGCAAGGATGAGAGTGAGAAAGAGAGATGGCTGGTGGGGTCAGCCATTAGTGCCATTTTCAGTGTTATTAACTGGACTGCGGCAGAGAGATGGCTGAGGGGCTGGGACTGTGGGTGGGGCTTGCCTTTAACCCAGCGTCAGGACCTCACTTCCCTGGATTTCTTTGGTCCAGGGAAACTTCTTGGAGGTGAAACCTCCCTAATAGAATTGGACCCAAGCAGAGACTCAGTCCAGGAAAGTGTCTAGACTTGGGTTCAAGCAGAGTCAGGTTCCATTCCTGCCTCTGCTACTTGCCACCTGTGGCACTTGGGGCAAGTTACTTAGCGTCTCTCAGTCTCACTTTCCTCGTCTGTAAAATGGGAATAATCATATGTCTCCCACTAGGTTGTTGTGAGGAGTAAATAAAAATATAGCGTACCTATCATGGAGGTGATACTAGATAAACAGCAGCTGTTACCAAGATTATTAGTGGGACGCTTATCAATCCATCATCGTAAACACATCATCAACAGCAAATATCTGGGCATCTTTTATAATGATGACTGACCTTTCCGAAGAGCTTTTGCCTCCATTTGCTCGTTTAGACCTTGCGGCAGCTCTGAGAGTTATCTCCAGAGGTTACCTACATGCACAAGGGCATCCTTTCACAATAGCTAAGGAGGTAGATGTAGGACCTACTAGAGAATTTGTAGGCCCTGGCACAAAATGAAAATGTGAAGCCCCTGTTGAAAAAGTATTAACATTCAGGACCGTGACAGCGGAGCAGTAAACCAAGGGTGGGGCCTTCTACCAGCAAGCCCTGCGCTGCCGCACAGTTGCACGCTGTGGGGCTTGCTCTGCAGAGACCACGTGGCCCCAGTCTGCTGCCTCTCTGCCTGCTCCTGGGCGCTGTTGGGGAGTGTTGTCACCATGGACAGGCAGATTCTCTGGGTTAAAAGGGTCCAGAGCAGCTTCTTGCCCAGCGGCTCAGGATTTCTTTTATAGCATCCCTGCCGGAAGCAGCGCTCTGCCCAGCACCTTCTCCTGGGTGCTCTAAGCGCTGTGGAACAACATGCTCCTGCCTGGATCTGGACCCTGCCTGCTCATGGCCTCCACCTGGGGCTTTGGTGACAGGTCCCTGGAGCAATGCCGAAAAGTCACTTTTGTCACCCTGCTGCCCTTCGGGAGTTTGCAGATAGCTCTCCCATCTCCCACTAGTATTTCTTCGGCAGGCTGTGTCCTGCCTTTCTCAAAATGTGGTGCTGAGGCAGAATACTGCTCTCCGGATACGGTCAGCGTGGAAAGATAACTACTTCAGGACTCACTCAAGTAACAATGTGCACCCGCCGTGGCTGAGCCAGAAACAAGCAGGAGAAATGGCCCTTGACCCACAGGCTGGGGCTGCAGGCCTCAGTGCTCCCCCACGTGATGCAGGTGGGGAAGAGCGGGAACAGCACTGCGGGAAGTGGCTGGATGCAGGGGACTTGGGGGCTAGCTCAGAGGCAGGAGTGGGGCCTGCATGAGGAGCGGGGAGCCTCTGGGCAGGGCGCCCCAGCAGTGCACAGGGGCAGAGATGGTGTGTCAGGGCAGTGCTGGGGAGGGGGAGCTGGCCCGCATGCATGTAGCAGAGGCAGGCAGAGGCCAGGGCCCAGGTTGCAAAACCACCACCCAGAGGCTGCCTACTGGGATCAGCCAGGAGCTGTAAGAACTTTCCAGTGCTCATGCCCATCCCAGACCAGTCAGATCAGACTCTCCCTGGCAAGGCCAGGTGGGAGGTTTAGAGAGCTCCTCTGGTGCCTCTAATATTCAGCACTGTGTAGGGCAGTGGTTCTTAGAGAGGGGCCCTGGGCTATTAGCATAAGCAGCACCTGGGTGGGACCAGGTTCCACCTCAGACCTAGGAGTCAGAGGCTCTAGCGGGGGACCCTGCCAGCTGTGTCTTAACCAGCTCTCGGGGCGATCCTGGTGTGTTATTGGGCCTGAAGACCATTGTCCTCGGAGCTTAGACTTTTGGGACACAAGATCCAGGAAGACTGGCTGGTTTTGGTGCTTTCTGCCTGTGGTTTGCCTTCCCTGAGTGGTGCACGGAGGGACAATCGGCTGCTCGCTCTGGGCATGGGGAGGGGAAGAGGAAAACATAGGGAGAGAAATGTCCATACATGAATATCTCAAAATGTTATTCAGCCATAAATATGCTTGCTGACCCTGCAAAGTTGGCAAATTCTCTTCCTGCAGCTCTGATGGGGGTGGGGTCCATGCCTGACCCTTACCAGGGGACTACTCGGGGCCAGGGCTAAGGGTGCAGGTCACTGTCCTCCAGCCTGTCCAAGTGGGCAGATCTTACCTCCTGGTCATTCACCTGTACCTTTCTGCTCCCTTGTCACCTCCCTCAGGAGTGTCTGTGGGGCAGGGGTTGCCCCACGTGCCTGTGCCTGGAGGCTGGGCCTGTGAGCGCATCTCACTCCTCTCAGAGGCCTGGTGCCACAGGAAGGGAAGGGTCTGGTCCTTGAGGCAATCAGGGTGTGGGTTGAGGTGATGGTGGGTGGGCACCACAGGCAGGGGACCCCCTGGGTGGGAACTGGTGACCCTTAATACCCTTCACCTTGTCTGCCCATCCAGCTCCTGTTGGTGTGCTGAGAGCTCTGCTGTTAGCACCCGAGACCTTGCACGAGCCACTAGTGCTGCTGAGCCCTGGTGTCCTCGTCTGCCAGCGGGGTCCCTAAAAGGGACCACCTTTCAGGATCCCCACGCTTGGAGAGAGAATGCCCGACCCTGCTTGGTGCTCAGGCTACCGTAACAAAATGTACTACAGACTTTTATTTTCTCACAGTTCTGGAGGCCGAAGCCCGAGATCAAGGGTAGCTTCTCCTGAGGCCTCTCTCCTTGGCCTGCAGATGCGTCTTCTGCTGATGGCCTCGCGAGGTTTTCCCTCGGTGTGTCTGTCCCAGCCTGCTCCTCTTACTGGCTGCTATCACACCAGTCAGAGTGGATAGTGTTCACCCTAATGACCTGGTTGTACCCTCATTACCTCTTTAAAGACCCTAACTCCAAATGCAGACCCATTCCGGGGATCTAGGGATTAGGACTTCAACCTGAGAATTCTGGGGGACACATTTACATTTCAGCCCATATCAATGGGAAATAGCTAATTGCTCAATAAATCCAGCGACTGGTGCATCAGCTCCCTGGAAGTCCTGGCTGTGCCTGGGCTGGGCTGTGGGCCTCTCACTGCTCCTGCACCCCTGGGGACCCTTGCTAGGTCTGTGTGCTGATCTTCTTCCCAGCCCTAGCTTTCCTGCCCACAGGACTGCCTTTGTCTCTGTCTCTGTGTATCCAAGGACCAGATCTCGTTGCTGGGGCACTTCCATCTTCTCAGCAACCTCATGCTGCCCTTCGTGCTGTGGCGCCACAGGGAGGCCCTTGTTTCCACCAACCCCGACACCCCTTTGTCTAGTCCCTATGTCCCCCCCATCAGAGCTCAGGGCAGCAGTGGGGGAACGGGATGGGGGTGGATGAAGGGACAGAAGGTGGGAGATGGTCAGCCAGGGGGATGGGTGGGGATGGCAGTTCACGGGTTGGGGGATGGGCAACAAGTCACCAATGAAACAGAAGGTTTGGGGGTGGGGTGGAGGCGTCCCAGGATCCTCTAATATGCAACCAAAGCAGAAAACATACACTGTTGGACCCTTCCCCAATCAGCTGCAGATGGAGGAAATGCGTCCGTGGCTTCTGGGTCCAGAGACTGGATTCTTCCTGTCACCTGTGAACAAACATTGTCCCCTTGTTGAGTCATATGGTCTTTTCAACAACTGTATGGAAAATCTGTCATTGCAAAATGGAATATTCCCGCCTATTATTAAACACTAGCAGCACCTTAACATTATTTTCATGCTTATGAATAATTTATTTTATATGTTAATGTTGGGTTAATGCTGCTGTGCATGTCATTACCTTTCCGTTTATTTCAAGGAAAAATATAGCAAAATACTTGGGTTGTCAAAGGTCCTGGGAACTGGGACTTCAGACAGGGGAGAGCCAACAGGGGCGTGGATTGGACTCCAAAGTCTTTCTTTACCTGGGAGGGGCCTGGGTGCTGCTGGGGGGAGAAAGGGGGTAGTGAATGGGGCCGCCTGAGCAGGGAGGCTGACGGAAGCCATCCTTGGAGAATGAGAGCTGAAAATATTTTGCAGGGTTTTACATACTTTTGAAGTCCATGGTGTTGACTCATCCAAGAAGTTTTTCATTCTCCCAGTCTGAGCTTGGGCCTAGCACTCTTCTAAACTGCATAGCTGAGCATATCTGCCTCTCGTGTCTGTCCTGTGAGGAAGGAGCTATTTTATCCTTCGTTATATACAATGAGAAACTGGTTCTTAGAGAGGGGAAGTGACTTGCCCAAGGTCTCACTGTGGCAAGAAGCAGAGTTGGGATCCAAATGCAGGCATTGCTACCTCAGGACCTGAGCTCTTGGCTGATGGCTGGTGGGGAAAAGTCACATCTGCACCTGATTGTCTTCCTCATGCCTTTCCCTGGGTGGCCTTGCTAGGCCTGCCTGTTCTGATCCAGGGCTGGGGGACACTCAGGCCCCTCCACGGTCAGCCTCTGTGGGAGATCCGTTAGGAACTGGGGGGTTTGCAGGCCTCGACTGCTGTTCATGACTTTTCTCTGCCAAACCTGAGAGGACAGGAGCTTCCTCTGCTTACATCTGCGACCTTGTACCAGTGTGTGGATCGAGAGCTGGCTTGTCTGGGAGGCCACCAGAGAAACTAACCCAGGGTCTGGAGAGTGGTGTAACGGGTGGGCTGTAGGAGTTGGAAGAGGGAGGGGCCCCCGAGGCTGCAGCACCAGGGGCCAGGGGTCAGGGAAGGCTGAAAAGGAGGAGGGGAGGCCGGAGAGTGACTATCAAGGGCAGGAGGACTTGAGGACAAGCTTAGGATGAAATTATGCCAGAGAAAGGTATAAATTCTCCAAGTAAAATGAAGCTAATTGAAATGTTAGCTCCGTCACCTTGCTCTCACATAAAGCCGGGATCTTCTACGCCTCATAAGAGCCCTGCCAGAAACGATCGCGGTGAAGTGTTTTCTTTAATTGGACAAGGCACTGATTTAGACAATGCCTCTCCTGCGTGGAGTCAAAAAAATGCAAATTACTTAATCTTGGTTGGCTTGATGAAGCGTACGTTTCTGGGGGGCTGTTGAGAGAGCTGGAATTTCTCTTCACCCCATTGAGCTTGCCTGATAAGAAATAAAAGCTCATCAGAGCCTCCACCTCTGCTGGCTGAGCCTGTGACGGGAGCGTCTCCCGCAAGCCCTGAGTGACATGTGTCCAGAAAACCTCCCTGACCTCCCAGAGGCAGAGGGAACAGGGGCAGGGGCTACACTGGGGAAATTGTACCCCCTTGAAGGGAAGCCAGGGACTGACGCTGAGCCCCAGGGCCCAATCCCCAGGCTCTGGGACCCCGGCCTGTACCCAAGTGGGAGGTGCCCCTGCAATGGGGCCCAGCCCCCACCTGGGAAATGGTAACTACCACGCCTTGAGCATCTACTCCAGGAGAGACGTTCAGCTGTGTTGTCACAGCCTCATGGCCATCCCATGACGTCCGAATGTCCCCAGCAACTGATTAGTGGGAACTTGAGGCTTGAAAAAGTGAAGTAACTTGCATAAGTTTATACAGCTGGTGAGTGGGGAGCCGGCGAGTGTCCGGGATCATCTGTCTTCCCAAGCCCAAGCTCCAAGTGCTCTCTGGGGGTTGAACCTGATGAGGTGTGTGGGCCCCAGGAAGGGTGCCACAGTTGGGCCCCTGGCAGACAGGCTGTCTGCACAGTCCATACATAGGCGTTGGTCCATTTGGGCTGCTATCACAAAAGGCCTCAGACTGGGTAATTTATGAACTACATAAGTTTATTTCTCATGGTCTGGAGGTTGGGAAGTCCAAGATCAAAGCACTGGCAGACTTAGCGTCTGGTGAGGGCCAGTTTCCTGGTTCATGGGGGCGCCTTCGTGCTGGGTCTTCACAAAGCACAAGGGGGAGGGAGCTGTCTGGGGCCTTTTTGTAGGGCACTGATCCGCATTCCTGAGAGTTCCACCATCATGACCTGATCACCTCCCAGAGACCCCTCTCTTAACACTGTCACTTCAGGGGTGTTAAAATAGAGATCTTAAGACTGAAGGAACAGACTGTGGCAGTAAGATACCATAAAGCTCCTGGCTCTACCGCTCCTCTTTCCAAGTGCCTGCTTTCCATCTCTGCTGGAGGCTTTGCTTCCCAGCCTGAGGATGGCCGGTGTAACCTTTCACAGGACAGAAAGCTCTCCTTTGCAAATTTACAGACTGTTATCTTTTCAGTTGACGGGTTAGGTCTCAACATAAGAATTTTGGGGGGAACACATTCAGGCCATAGCAATAGGCTTTAAAGGTTTTTTGGGCACCCCAGCACTCATGGCAACACTGGTAGAAACGAACATGTGTTTTTACTCCCTAGCTGGGCTCAGTGATCAGGTGCCAGGAATGGTGCCACAGTAGTCCAATTCAACAATCAGCAAACTTTAAACTACAGCTTCAGAGACTTACAGATTGGACGTTTAGAATCCGTTAAAAAAAAGCATTAGTTAAAACATTAAGGTCCCAGCCTTGGGAAATGGGTTTCCAGGGTGCGAATTGCCTAGAAGATTCAAGTCCAATAATTAGATAAGACCGTAAACCAAGCCTCCATGTCCTACACTGGCTTGGCTGAGAAGCCTGCTGGAGCTATAATTTGCCTCCAAAACAGATGCAGAGTCATCTCAAAATCAAGCTCCCTAGACCTGATTGGCTCAGCAGGGTGGGACCAGGAATGAAGCAGGCACCAAACATTGTGGAACACTTCTGTGGACGGCACTGGGCTAGACCTCGCAGACCTCACAGAGAGGACAAGCAGTTGCTCATGGGGGTGGTCCTGGTGGCCTGGCCTGGGGATGCTTCTCAGTGGGCACCATTCTACCACCCGCCTTGGCACCCAGAGAGTGTTCACAGGGTGAGCTCATCGTCTGTCCCAAGGTCCATACGCTCACTCACTCAGCAGATGTCATGGATTATTCACTGTGTGCCGGTCACTGTTCCAACCACTGGGGACAGAGCAGCGACCAGTATGACAGTCCTTCCTCTCACAGAGCTGACATCTCCAGAGAGTCTTTCCCCTAGCTAGAAAGTTCTGATTTCTGGAGTGCTGTTACTTATGACAAGTTCATAGCCTCCTTGGAACTCCTCTGCAGTCCTGAGCTGGTTCCTAGCGTGGCCCAAGGCCACCTTCTCCCTTCTTAGGGGTGAATAGTGTCACTACTTTCCAGGCTCCCAGGGTATGACCCTGAGCCCTGGGCACACCTGCCTTGTTGAGTCACCACACAGTCCCAGCCGTTTGTCCCAGGAGCCCTCTGGGGACAGTGAGTGGACAGGGCTCTCCAAAGGGGTCCTTGCTGGGCAGAAGCAACTCCCTGCTGATTGCTGAAGCTCCTTTAGGTGGACATGCTGCCTTTGGAAACAGTTTCTCCTAAAGCAGCCAGAGTTTGAACTCATCAGAAAGGTGTCCCTTAGAAACACTGCTTTGGGGTGGGGAAGGTGGGAAGCAGGGGGTAAGTGGGGCTGGGGAGATGGAGACAGGAGGGGGAACAGCTGCTGGTGCCCCTGTTCCATCCCTATCAGCTGTCTTCCTGGCCAGGTGGGCTGAGGATTTCCATACCCGAGTCCAAAGGGTGTTGCTGATTTAATTTGATATCTGGGTGCTGGTCCTTGCACCAGGCACCAGGAGCACACCATGCTGACCCCACACCCTGCCCTCCTGCACACCCATCCTCTGAGGCTGCCCAGAGCTGGAGGAGATGTCTACTCACGTGAGGAGGGACTGGAGCATTGGGTACTGAGAGCACAGAGAAGGGAGCAGTTCCTGCGACCTCAGATTTGGAGAGGGCTTCCTGGAGGAGGTGATGCCTGAGCATTGAAACAAAGTGTGCCAGGGGTCCTAGGCAGAGGCAGGGAGAAATGCAAGCCACGGCTGGTGCGTGGGGGCTGAGAGCTGTTGCCTTACCTCTAGGCTGCTGTGCGGGGCAGGGCATGGAGCACCCGAGCTTTATTCTGCAGGGGACACAAGGCTCCCACAAGACTTTGAGATATTGAGGAGGGGAGGATAGGCTGGGAATCGGTCCACAGGCCTTTTAGTCCCAACTGGGCTTCTAGGTAATTGAGGCTTTGGGCAAATTAAAAACAACCCTTAGAACTTCAGTTTCCTTATTTTGTCCTGGGACAGTGTGTTCCCCAGGCAGCCGGGCATGCCCGCTCTGTCTGGAACAGTCCAAGGCTGCCAGGCTCTCTGGAGGGCACACAGCCCAAGGCCATTCTTGCCTTGAGCTGTCCCCAGGATGGATAAGCACAGCTCTCCAGCTGGGATACTTCAATCCTAGGTTTTCGGGGAAATGGTCAGATGGGTTCGGGGAATCCTCATTTCTCTTTGAGGACCCAGCAGGAAAGTGGGGCTGGGATCTTCTTGGAGAGGGCAGGGCCTGGGGAAAATCAGCTAAGATGTTAGACTTAAGTCGGATCCGTTTGCTCAAGTGATTGGTGTTAGATCACAGTGTTGAAGAACATGGATTTCAGAGCCAGACTCTGTGGGACTTTGGGCAGGATGCTTCAGCTTTGTTGAGTCTCAGTTTTTTCTTCCAGAAAATGGGATGTTAATAGGACTCACCTCACAGGACCAAGCAAATTAATGAGCTAAGGTACGTGGGATGCTTAGCACAGGGCTGGCCATGAGCAAAGGCAGCACAGCTGGCTCTGACCGTGAGCAGGAAGCATGCTCTTTGCACACAGACTGGAGACAAAGGGCAGAAGATAACGCGTGGCCTGAGGGCAGGCCAGGGCACAGCCACAGCTCATACCCGAGGGCCGAGTCAGGGAGAGATTAAGCCAGTGCCCGTGGGACAACATTTGACTTGGTTGGATGCTCTGGCCGTGAGTTTGGAGCAGAGCCAGGCCAACTACTCTGACCCACATGATCATGTAACATTTGGAGATGATCAAGCTTTTACTGGGGGAAGTGTTGATGTAAAGTTCTCCACTGAGTTTTCTATAAATGCTTTTTATTAGCTAGTGCTTTATAACGTAAGAGCTATTGAGTTAGACATCCATTAGCTTCTACTCCCTGGGGAAGCAAGGATGGTTTTTTGAGTCCTTGTGCAGAGGCCAGGGTGCCTCTGGGGCTGGTTGGGCTTGGCAAGGAATATAGCCAAGTGGGCAGGTGGTTCTGGAATTCAGGCAGGCAATCTGCTTGTATGTGTTCGCATGTGTGTGTTTGTGTGCTGTGTGTGTTTGTATGTTTGTGTGTGTGGTGGCTTTGTCAGTGACTAGGATGAGGGGGAGGGGTGAGCCTTCCAGGTACTGCTGTAGCACTAGTAGGCAGAAGGCTGGGCAGGGACTCTGTGTACAGTTGTGCAGGCCCTGCACTGCCCAAGGATGTCACATGTAAGAGAGCACCATTCACGTCATAGAAACCATAGATTTATGTCTAGTATGACAATTCTGAGAAATAGAAGTAATGTGTTTCATTTTAATAAAAATCAGAAAATAGAGTTTTCCAATGCATAGAAATGAAATATCTTGAGAAGGGGAATCTTTTTGGATTTGTGCAAAGGTGCCACATAAGCTCCCAGCATCCCTGAGGTTGGGCATATGGGCTGGGTCAACCCGTGGTGGGAAAGGGCAAGGAAGGGTCCAGGGTCAATAGGGGCACCCTGAGCTGCTTCCTGGCACACTCTATACCTGGCCCATGGGCTAGCCCCACAAAACTCTGCCTCCTGCCTCCCTTAGGAGCATGCACCACATTTTTATCAAGTTGTGGGGTGCCTCCCTCATGAGGACTGGCAGGTGTCTAGGGCAAGACAAAAGAGGAGAGACTGGTGCTGGTAATACCTTGTCAGAGGCTGTGAAAACTGTTTTGCAGAGAGCTGGGGTGGGACAGTGGGGTGATCAGGTGGGCTTTCCACGAGTGAGTCCAGGGGACGAAGCAAGAAGCGGCGGATGGCAGTGCCTGCCTGGAGGCAGGAGTGCAGGGAGCCTGGGACTCCTCGGAGGCTGGGGCCCAGCCACGTGACTCTCAGTTGAACCCGGCAGGTTTTAAAGCTGGACTGGCAAGGGAATGCCAGCATTCCTCACTTGGAGGGGCGCTGCAATTTCCAAATGGTTTTCTGTGGAGTATCAGTCCTGAGAACATTTGGCGGAGAAACCAAACCAAACCCCCAAAATATACTCCGAGACTGAGCAGGTGGGAACACCGCACAGGTAGCTGTGCTCAGGCCTGGGACGTGTCCGTGCTGACCAGTGAGGCTGGGCTCACGTTACTGCAGCCAGGATTTCCTAAACACACGGTCTAAACTTTTCAAACAATGAACACCTGAACGTCCCCCAGGAGCTGGTATTCCTAGTCATCTGAATACAGATGGGGGCTGGCCGAGAGGGATCGCTCCCTGAGCCCAGAAGCCCTGCTGAGCCAGGCAGAGCTCATCGCGCTGCCCTCCGAGGAGCTGGCGCCTGCTGCCTGGAATCCCCCAGAGACCCCTTCAGATGTGTCTCCCTCCAGCCCATCTCCACTCTGGGCAGCGGCCCTTCACACCACCCTCCTCGGGAGGCCCTGACCCCCATACCTCAGCATGGGGCTGTGTGCAGAGGCAGGGCCTTTAAAGAGGTGATTTAGGTTAAATGAAGTCATTAGGGTGGGCCCATCCCACGTCACTCATGTCCTTATCCGAAGAGATTAGGACACAGACCAGCACAGAGGGATGACCACTTGAAGACAGAAGGAGAAGATGCCGTTTGCAAGCCAAGGAGTGGGGCCACCCTGATTGTGGACTTCCGGTCCCTGGAACTATGAGAAAATAAACTTCTGTTGTTTGAGTCCCAGTCTGTGGAACTTTGTCATGGCAGTCTGAGCAGCCCAGCTCAGCCCCCATAGTCCCCAAATCCTTCCCTGCGACCTTCCTACCTGGGTGGGGACCTGGGACATAACCTAATCTTCCCAGACTTCTTTTCTCTGGAGGATCAGCGCCGTTGCTGGGATGATGTGAGGAAGAATCTGGGAGGAGGGTGGGGTGGTAGGGAAGACTGCAAATAGACATTTTTGTTTGTTGTTTGTTATTCTTGGGACACACCTGAGGAAGTGCTGGTGCTGTGATTGATGATGTCAAAGTGCTGTTACTTGCAATATCTCGTTTGATCTTCACCATGACTCGTGGGGGGCTTCAGGGAGTGCTATTTCAAAAGATAGACGGAAACTAAGGCTCTGAGGGGTTAAACATCTTTTCCTAAGTCACCAGCTAGTGGCACGGCTGAGTCTCAAGCTCAGGTCCCCATGGGGATCCGAGAGATGTCCAGGAGACAGTTGGACGTGTGTCTTTGGCTCAGAAGAGGGGCCTGGGCTGCAGGCAGAGATATGAGTGTCATCAGAAGATACACATTTTTCTGATAAAAGGGGATAAATACAGCTGCAGCTGGCTCTGCCCATTTTCCCCTCTTCTACCTTGGAGGCAGATATGATGTCTGGGGCTGCAGCAGCCATTTTGTCACTGAGAACTGACATGTGATGCCAAAGGCCCACCCACCAAGGATGGCAATATGGAAGCACAGAGGGTGCCAGCCTCACCAAGCATCTAGAACAATGCCAGCACTTGCTTACCTCTGGACCTCTTGTGATGGGAAGAGAGGGGGCCCTATTGCTTAAGCCTTTATAGGCAGGTTTCTTTACTTGATGTTGCGTCCAGGGACATGGTACCTAGAGCAGTGGCATGAGGTTCCTTCCCACAGGAAGGAAGAAAAGCCAATGTGCTGAGGAAGAGTGAAGGAGCCTGGGTCCTTAATGCCCAGGACTGACCTTGCGTCCACCTACAACCGGGCTGGTGTGAAGTAAACAAAGACTGTCCTCACGTGCTAAGCCACAGCTGGTTAGATTTCTTTTATGTGTAGACAAAATCATTCCCAATGGGTACACCTTTGTTTCTTGTTTGGTAGGATGCTAGGTCGATTTACAAAATAAACTATATAAACAGACAGACACACCCAAACACACAAACACAGAGACAGAGAGAAACAGAGGGACGGAGTGAGGCTGGGAGGGAGGCATGGGGAAGGACAGCTTGCGCTGGGACCAGCCTTCGTGGGGCAGGAGGAGAAGCGGCAGCCTCGGGCCTGCAGGGAGCCTCGCTGCCCAGGGCGCCCTGCGCGGGCACCGCGGGACTGCTGTTTCTCTGCCCGTGGCTCCCCGCTGCACAATGGACGCCGTCGTGGCTGCTGCTGTCCTGGAACGGCCGTGCCCCAGGCCCTGCAGTCTCTCCGAGATGTCCTCGTGCAGGGTTCCCACCTGTGGCCGGCTGCCCATGTGCCGAGCTGTGTGGTGACTCATGACGAAGCCGGCGAAAGTCCCCTGCCCCTTCCCAGGATGTCCTGAGATGGAGGCCCTGACAGAGGGGCTTGGCATCAGTGGGGGGCACAGTGTGGCGGGGGCTTCTGGTTCTGGCGTCTCGTTTCTCTCTTGGGAGCCATCTCTCTTTCCCTCGCCAGTGCGGGTCCGAGAGGTGGGCCGAGGGAGGGTCGGAGAGGCAGCTGCTGCGCTGGGCTCAGCATTCCCCCTTCCAGCCAAAGGCCCGGCTTGGTGCCTCCTTAGGGTGAGCTCTCTTTAGGGGGTTCCTCAGCTTCTCAGGGGACAGGCATTGTCTGCTGGGCCCTGTTGACTTGTCAGATAAGCTGTCTTCGCATCCAGCTGGGTCTCCTCAGCCTCCTAGATAAACAGGCTCCACTCAGAAACCTCTTGTCACTTCACCAAACATGCATTCCTGGGCCATCAGAAAGCCCTCTGGCCGCAACCCAGGCCCTAGGTGTACTCCTGCTTCCAAGGCCAAGAGGAAGGTCACTTTGGGGATGCCCAACACAGTGTCATTTCTCAAAGTTCGGGCCCACGCCTGCAGCCCCACTCTCCTCCTCCCGGACACAGGTTCCGGGTCCCGGCCACACTCCTCCCGGAACTCCCGCTTTCTTAGGTGCTTACCCGTAGCTCCCACACCCAGAACAGACGTGTCCCCATTAAGGAACACCGGTAATGGGACAAGAAAAAAGACATGCCTATGGGGGACAGGTTTTCTTTGACCAAAATAGCCCTGTAACAAAAGTGCTTCTGAAGTGTCTCTTGATGAAATCCATG